GGTAAGTTTATTGGCTTCTGGGAAAACTGGCACTGGTGTGTGTGTGTGTGTGTGTGTGTGTGTGTGTGTGTGTGTGTGTCTGCCCTGCGATGGCCTGCCTTGCTCCTGTTGCTTGCTGAGATAGGCTCTAGTTCGCCTGTGACCCTGAATTGGATGAAGCCGTTCCAACACAGATGGATGAATAGAAGGTTCAAAGGGAATAGTGCCACCTACTGGTCCACTAAAGCCACATACAGCAGCGACCTGATATTTCTTAGAGGTTTACATCCCAGTACCGACCAAGCCCAGCCCAGAGCTTCTGACCACATGCTTCCTCGTCTGCTACTAATCATTATGTTCACTGTTTTTGCTCTATTATAAATTATCTGGTTGTGACTTTTATGTAAATGACATATTGAGCAATCTCTCCCTGTAGAATCAGGGGAAGTACTAGAAAAAGCTTTAAACAGCTTCCTCTGAAAAACTCTGTGCACCTCAGTGCTGACTGAGATGTTTTTTTCCCTGGGTTCTGGGCCAAGACAGATCAAAACAGCATTCTCTAGTTGCTCTGATCTAGGAGTGCAATTGCAGGTTCCTAGTGGAAAAAAAAAAACAGCAATCAGAGTCGCTAATGGTTAACACATTGAGAGACTGATTCTCGGTGTGTAAGGTGTTTGATAATAATTATTGTCCACTGTATCAGACTAGGAAAGCAAGATTTTGTGTTTTCGGACTACTGAAATTCCGCTTTTTGGTTTTTATAAAAAAGCATGGTCTGAGATCTGCTTCTACATGATTTAAGTAAAAAGTATTTGGCAGGCGTTGTAGGATTTAACAGTGTGGTCTGTCATCCTTCAGATAATTGAATTGTTTGTTTAGAAGATGGGGAATTGAAGAGATTAAACTCATGTTTAAAAAAATAAATTTGCTGCCACTATTTAGCCATTTGTGGTAAGTAATTGCTGTTGCATTTCCGAGCTTCTTCGTGGCACTGTTGATGTGCTGTAAAGACCCAGCTCTGATGAGTGCAGAGATCTGAGCACCATGCTGATTGCAAAGGCTGACACAGATTCTGGTTTCATGAGCTGCTGCTGTGTTCCTTACAGGCTGCTCTTGTTGTTGCTGTGAGATCATTATTTATTAATAGTACTATATTACCCAAAATGTGATATACGGTGCATTTGAAAATGCTGCTTCAAGTAGATCATCGAGAAAGATATTTGTATGTTTTATCATGTTATTGTTTGTTCTGTATTCATTTTTTGTTGTTGTTCTCAGTTTTTATTTTGGAGTTTGGTGGCAAACCAAACTTCTTCCCAGGTTGACAAGAAATACTAACAAATAAAAATAAACTCTGAAACATCCCTTTTGGATAGCAAAGGTGTTCTAAATATCCATCTCCGGCTTCAACAGTCAGTCAGAAGTGGGTCCTGGCTTGTGAATAGTATCACAGCAGCTGTTTATTGTGTCAGATACAGAGATAGAAACAACAGCAAAAACAACTTTTGATTAATGTGGCACCTCTCTTGACAGCTCTTTACAGAAACAGCACAGCCCAGCTCTATTAATAAGCCTCCATTTTACAAGTTCAAGACAGAATGAATTCTTATTTTCGGCGGTAACCTGGAGATTAGCAAAGTATTTTACTTTTAAATAGTTTGCTCAAGGGAAGAACTGCAGCACCCTACGCAGGACTGAACCTTTACTCTTCTTTTACCGTTGTCAAGAGAAATGACCTCCGTTTTGATTTTCCTTAGAACCATGCCGATTACTTTGGGGTCTTGTCCATGGTGCATGCCCACTCAAACACAACTGCTAGCCTCTTTATCAGATATGCATTGATTTGGCACATGTGGCACAGCAAGGCGACAGACTCCCTATTTTTGTCTACTGAAAATCAGCCTACGCAAGACGAATGTCGCTGTGGTAAAGAAATGCTCCAAATTGGCTTTGAGCAAGCATCTGTGGTCAGCAGAAAGGTTCCAGTGAGCCATTTGTCAGCCGTTCTAGTTATCCTGCGAACCACAATCTGCGGTGTGTCCTGTAGGCTGACCCATACTCAAGGCACGACGTCTGATTATCAGCAAAAATGGGAAATATTCTTAACTTTATTGCTTTGAGTATGTAAATAATTTAGAACATGCTACTACTACTAATACTTAAATCGAATCCATAGGTTTTTATTTTAAGTGGATAAAGTAGCATCCCAGTAGAAAAACTTTGTGTTGCAGTAGTTATTCTCAAATAACCTGTCCAGTTTGTATGATGAGTGATGTCACAAGGAAGGTGCTATTTCTAGCTGTAACGAACAGTTCTTTCCGGACCCTATGCGGACGACACAGTCCGACGGAGTGGGGAAACACTGGGGAAACGTCATGCAGGAAAACGGGGCTGAAGACAGGGGGCGTGTCCAAGGTGCACTGGTGCACGGGGGAGGTGTGGCCGAGGCGAACAATCCGAGAGTAATCCTTAGGGAAAATCCAAAACACACGAGTAAGTCCAAAACCAGGAGATCCATCAGAACAAGAATTAAAAAACCACGAAGGCCGGGTCGGAACCGGCGGACAGGGAACAGGAACAGGGGTTAAAAGCTTAACGGGACCAGGCGCTTCCTGGTCCCGGACTCGCACGCTCGGAAATCAGATGCAGAGCCCGGAAGAGCGTCAGCGCCTGGCTTTTAAGGTGGGCAGGGAATGGGAAACAGGTGCAGGGAATGAAGTCTTTAGTGAAAGGGCTGGAGCACCCTTAAGGAGGGGGGACTATAGTCGTGACACTAGCTGCATTGTGATTCTGGACTGTACCTCCACATCACAGCTGACTAATTGAAAAACTTGTATCAGCTGCAAACTCCACCTCCAGTACACATTCTCTTGTGGAGCTGCTGTGCCATTCTGTCTGGTGTCAGTAGTGGCCCTCTAGAAAGTATGTTAAATGGTTGTGCAGTGGAGACCCTCAATACCCTTGTGATATGAAAATCCCAGAAGAAGCATAACACACATTTCACATTTATAGTAATGTAAAGCTTTATGTCAATTTATCCAGGAGATCACAAAAATAGTTGCTTGGAGACATTGAAAATATATATTCATTTTTAAAAATATCTACATTTTTGCCTGTTATGGTGAATTAAAAACAATTTACTAACCTAAAAAGCAAGGATGATGAATTTTAAAACTGTTTTTTTCTGGCTATTAAAGCTCGGTTCTTTTTTTTTTCTTATTTTAGATATTGGTGAGGCTAACCTGTTTCAATGTTTTTTATGGTGTATTTTTTATTGAACTCCCATATTTTAACCACGAAGCAACACAGAAAACGGTGTTACCTTTGACAAGACATCTCCGCCATGAAATGTACTTTTGTTCTTGAAACCAAAAACTTAGATATACATTTTCCTCCAACCTCTAACTTTGCATTAAGTAATAAAACAGGGGAAATGCAAGACAGCAGCAGTATAAGCTGACCAGCAAAAACTGTTTTGCTTCAGTTCCTCTGCCACGTTGTTCGAATTTAGCAGATCTGGCTTAGGTTTATTTTAGGTAGGGCTGAGGTCTAAGTCCCAAATTGGGATTCCCTTGAGGCAGACATACAGAGGGGGGGTGGCCGGTATATTAAATTTACTGTCACTATTTTTGCACTGCTTTCAAAATGTCTTTTTGTTTGACCCTATGGTCCCCAGCAGTAAAGGGGGACATGTGCTCACTTTTCCACTAATTAAAAACAGAGACAGAGACTGGAGGGGATGTTAAACTATCCATATTTTACAGAACAGTTCTAGTGTGAAATCTCCGCATTCAGTACTCATTTTCCACTTTGAATGGCGATGTGAGGTATAATTCCTGAATTTACTCTTTCTCCCCTCATGTGATCTGTCGCAATGTGGACACAGAAGTTTCAACACAAGAAAGCGAAACAGTTGGAGGTCCTGTAAAAACACACACACTCTTAAGCATTTATTTTTTTATTTCAAACATACACCCGCATTTGGAGTAAGTGACTCATTAACACTCAATCTCGGTATGTCCCAGGCAGTGAGAACTTGCTTAGAAAACTCTCGATTATGCTGTTGACACCAAATTACTTGGAAGGCTCCAGAATTACAAGACAAAATATTTTTATATCACATACATTATATAATCAAATAACCACGTTGGGTTTCACCATTTATAATGTTTCCTAGTTATGTTATCACAGCGAAAACATTCTGCTCAGTTGCTCAATTATAGCAAGAGATTTTGTGGTTTTAAGCCAGATCTTCTGTACAAATCCTCTCAATATATCAGCTGGTTAATGTAAAAAAGACTGTACTGTAAATTGTAAATAATGAAGTTATTTTGACAATATAATAACATAGTATCTTTCCAACAAACAGACCTCGGCTAAAAATCAGAAGAACAAAAAAAATGAGATGGGTACACATGATGTGAGCCAGTCTGGCTGTGTTTTTAAAGACAGACCCTTGGTAACGGAAATGGCCACGTGTGTGGACCTGCCTCTGAGTTAGAGTTCTTCCCAGAGCTGCCGAGTCGTCTACACCCGGGTGAGGGCTCGCTCTCGATAATCGGCTTATTCCTTGCAGATCATCCTTCACTCCATGCACAAGTACCAGCCCCGTGTGCACGTGATCCGCAAGGACTTCAGCAGTGACCTGTCCCCCACCAAGCCCGTCCCCACTGGAGAGGGGGTGAAGACCTTCAGCTTCCCCGAGACGGTGTTCACGACCGTGACGGCCTATCAGAATCAGCAGGTGAGAGCAGGCAGGCAGCAGCGTTGCCAACGGTGGGGTGCACAGGAAGAGTCGCGCGCCAGGGAGGGCCATGTTCGTTAGGTTCCTATGAGCTGAGCGATCCCACAGGCCAGCCCCGGCTGTCCTCGAGAGCCTCGCCGGCCTGTCCTTCTTCTCCAGTGCTGCACGAAGATGGCTCCGGCTCCAGGGGTCGGCATCTGAGATAAAGGCCCTGAATGACTTCTGTAGTTCCAGAGTTCCTCCTCATTTGTTTCTGGCTGAAAATTCCTCTCGTCTCCTTGACCTGTCCACAGGCTACACAACTTTCAGATCACCGTCCTGCTGGCTCTCGTCCTGACACCGTTCTCCATGATGACTTGCTATGTAGTAGAACATAAAGTCATAAATAATTTGATGATTGTTTAACAGGGCCTATTTTAAACAAACCCCCCCCCCCCAAAAAAAAAAAAAACCCTGAATGTCCTGCTGAGCACCCATTTATCACTTGGAGCTTAAAACGCTTGAGTATGAAGTGAGTTTTATTTCTGGAAAGCACACTTTGCCCTCACTTATACAAAATAGGAAATGAGAGCTCGTTTGTCATGGTCTGAGACAGAGACGAGGCTGTCCAGAGGTGAGCATGAGCCCACATTCCCGCTAGCCGGGATTTAAATGAGGGAGGATTTACAGCCTCATTTCCTGCTTTTACGATGGAGGACATTGAATCCCTAAGATCGAAAGCCTGAGCCCGGAATTTCCCTTCAGAAGGTTATAGCGAAAAAGCATGTCCAGCGCTTAAAAAAAAAGAAAGAAAGAAACTTAGTGGATACCGAGATAAATAATTCCAAGGTGAGAAGCCCCCTGCCATAATAACAGGGATTACATATACGTACAGTGTAGGTATACGTTACATTTTCAAATTGTGATCACTTGTTAATCACCTGGTTTGTATATTTCTTCCTGTAGGGTAGTGGGTGTAGTTATTGTGAGCCAGTTGTGAAGGACCACAACTGATGGGAGTTCTGTACTTCCAGCTGGTAATTTGCAGGTTCAAAAGCCCAGTGAAGACAATGCTGTTGTACTCTTCAGCAGGGTGCTGAATTTTACCAGTAAAATATGCAACTGTACAAAATGGGTGCAAATGTAAGTTAAAAAGTGTCAGCCAACTAAAATATAAATGCTCTCCTGTAATTTCTGAGAGTTTTGTTTACTGACTGTATGCGGAGTTCAGATTCTTGGGTCGTATTTCTTTTTCACTTGAAAATATAGTTTGCACAGATTAAATTGCTGGACCTCGCAGCTTTTTCTGAGCTATATTTTTATATTAGGTGGTTATTTTATGACATGTTGTCTTCTTTGTGTGAGAATTTGGAATTGCTATTTACTTTTACTTCTCTGCCCAACCCGTTCTGAACAGCCCTTTGTTAATCAGCTTAGACACCAGCCCCTTGTGATTTCCTGCCAGCTCAGCAGCTAGCACTGGGGGTGCACAGGTGTGTCTCACTGACTTGTGTGCTGAGCTGCGGCCTCCTTGCTGGACACCTCTGGGCTCAGCCTTGGTGTTTCTCACTTAATAACTTCACATTAATAATAACCTTTATTTCTAAAGCGCCTTTCCAAACCCAGGGAAGCTGTACACCATGAACAAAAGAAAAGTACAATGAGAGTAAGTGGAAAAAAACAAAAGCATACAGGTTGTTACCAATTGACTGTAGGCAATCAGACATAGACCTTGGTACAAGGTATGTTTTAAGTTCAGATTTATAGAAGTTGTCTCTCGTAAAGTCTGAGGAAGGTCATTCCACAACACTGGAGCAGCGACAGAGAAGGCCTCAGTCACCGCAAGTCCATGACAAGCAAATGACATGTCGAGGACAGTGTTTCATAACCTTTTTTAATCCCATGGCACACTTACTGTACATCAATACAGCACACCGCCCCCTTCTCCCAACATGCCCTGTGATACACACACATCCCAGGCCCAAGCACATTATGATGAATACTCTGAACCAGCTGATTTCAGTGTGCCCAGCCACACTCCCGGCAGGAACTGGTGACTGCGAGACACAGAGACTCTTGCTCTGCTGCTCTCAGCCGTTTTGTGTTTCTGTATTTTATATCCTTCAATCTTGAAAAACTTTATTTACACCACACGCTGCTCCCACGTGAACAGTCTTAAGAGTGTGGCCTTTGTCTCGTGTGTATTCACTGGAGGTGTGCTACAACACTTTGGACACTACGCAGAACTCATATATATATACAAAATATCAAACGTGTTCGTTTTAATTACCCTCGTATGTCACACTTCTGGAATTCTGCGGCACAGCGGTTAAGGAGTGAAGGCACACTGGTAAAGAAATGCTGGTTTCGGATGAAGCAATTCCCCTCCTCCCATAACTGAGTGACCTTACTGGCCAAGTCTCTCCAAAGCAAAGTGACTGCCTCCTTGCAAAATCTCCTTGCAAAAGACAAAAGTCTCTCAAGTTCTTTTTCTACAGTTCTGTCTCGATATGTATATAATATGGATTTGAATTGCATTTTATGGAACACTAACTTTCAGCCTAAAATCCTATTAGAATGTGGCACTGCCAGAACAACTGTTTCTGCTGCTCAAGTGATTTACATTTCTCCAGAACCAGTTTGTGCTTCAGCTCTGGTATTGCACTCCTGTGAGGGCTGTGGACTAGATCTGGAGGTTTTTGTGAAAAGAATTTAGAATGGAATTTGCAACCCTTAATCTAGGTTGTTAATGGTATCACTGAGTCCATTTTTCAAACTGATGTATTACGATGAGAATTTGTTTGAAAGAGAAAATTGGTGCATGAAGCTTTAAACCCCTTTCAGAAAGTTTTCTTCCTCTTTTCAGATTACCCGGCTAAAAATCGACAGAAACCCTTTTGCTAAAGGGTTCAGAGACTCAGGGAGAAACAGGTACTGGACACATAATTTATCTATTCTGATATCTGAATAGTGCTACTTGTATGATTGCTTATTTATTTGGCTCATGGTATTTACCAAAACACAAGGAAAAACAATTTAAATGACAGAATTACAGTGAGTTATGTTGTGCATAAAGATACAGTAATAATAAACTTTATTTTATATAGTGCCTTTAAAGGTGGATTCTCAAAGCGATATACAGAATGACAACAACAAAAACAAAAAAATACACAAGATATGCACAATGAAGATACACAATGAGAGGAGACAGTAGACAGGGGATACTGAATGCAGTAGGAGCAGAGGGGTGAAGAACAGAACCAGTTAAGCAAAGGTCCTTCTAAAGAAGAAGGTTTGGAGTCTGGAATGAAGGAGTTCAGAGAAGGTCACTCTCTGATATCAGTAGGTTGCATTGTTTGCAGATTGAAGGATACAATGCAAAGCTGTTGAGGATCTTTGTAATTTTTATAGTGGTGAAGCAATAGCACAGTAGAACGAAAAAGGCCCTCAGCAGGTGTGAGGCAGTACTTGCTGACAACTTACAGATGAGACTCTGAGCAGATGAGTTTTTCGGAGGTGTATGAAAGGAGACGGAAGACGTTATGATGTGTGCAAATCATCTTTGTGGCCGGCAGTTTTTCATATCGATGAGGCTTCTAAGCATCACACATTTGCCTAGGTGCTGGAAGTCCTGTACAGTGAGCATCACACCATGACACGACAGTGCTGTAGATTTGTGATCTTTCTCCTGCACAGCAGAGGCTCCAGCTGATCTTTCCTGTCTGTTACATTGGAGGGTTCGCCTCAGAATGATCATGTAACAAGGGAAATGGTGAAACTTACCCACAGCACATGAAAGTACAGCCATCTGGAATACATTATCAACACAGATATTTGAGACATCTTTTTTCATTTTTCAAACAATAGAGGGGCTGATTTATGAACTATTATTAAAATTTTATTGAAAAGAAAACTAAAGATGAAAAGATGTGAGCCTATGTGGATAAAAATCCAGTAAAAAAGACAGAAAGTTTGCAGCTCCCTGCTCAAAATGTGTAATGTAAGGATTACATAATAAAGGTTAAAATCACTGTATTATTTCCCCAACCAAAATGCATTGACTCATTTTTAAATTCCTTTGCAACCATAATTGAAGGACAAGTTTATTTAATGTAATTTAGCCTCAGAAAGGCAGTTCCCCTGCAGCACAGGCTGAAGCTTGGCTGGTATAGCACTGTGATTTACAGCAAGATGATGTACAGTACTAAATTCACAAATATTTTATTTCCACATTTTAGATGAGCATTTTTAAAATTTATTCTACTGTACAATTTCACAAATATCCTACTGACTTTAAACAGGATCCGATAATTGGATCTCTGTGCCAGTACACAACTCTTTAAATATTTGGTTAACATAAATCTTTTAGACTGAAGTAAAACAATATATTCATCCGTTAGCAGCTACATGTATAGAAAATCTCCACGGTGCAAGGCTGCCAGCTGTTCCCAAGGACTGTGTTGATGTTTTTCCTCAGGGAGGATTCCAGTTCAAGTCAAAGTGAAGGAGCACCGTGTTCTCCTGTGTTGTTTAGCTTGGGAGACACTGCAGGTCTCCCTGGATTTCTCTGAAGTCTAATCAGAAACGGCACATCTGAATACGCAGCCCAACCTTGAAAAGCGCCTGTGCTTGAAGTAATGCCATTGTAGTAGACAATCCTTGATACCCGCGTTGGCATAAACATGTCAGGGTGTTTTAGCTGTGCAGCCTTGAGGTTTAATACTTCTGGACCCGAGTTGGCAGTGGAGGCTCAGCATGGATGATCCAGAAGGATACATCTTCATACAAGTGGAGGACTGCTTTGTGAAAGGTTGGAGCTCCCTCTCAGCTGTACTTGTGTACCAGACTGGAACAGGCCTTACAGTAAATTACAAGCGCAGCGCTCAGCTTCGATCGCAGTACACCTCAGCGTTTCAGAACGGGATTCTGTACAGATTCTGAGTTCTGCATGCTGCTCATTCCCTGGGGGAGAGACAAGATGGAGAAACAAGCTCTCACCATGAATGGAATCTCGCACATGTTGTGATCAAAGGTATCTTGAGAAAAGACATCACCGGACCTCGGAGGATCCCCAGGTGATGAAGACAGCTATACCAGGCTCTGTCCAGTGTTGTTTCAGGATTTGCATTTGTTGTCATGAAAGGAGCTTATATTTTACTGACTTTACAAGCATTTTGTGCTGTAGAAGGATTCAGTTTCGTTATTGGTTAAAAACCATATTCTTGGTAAATATTAGCCCCTTTCATAGTTTCATTTGTTCTCTACTTGCATTCATAGGCCAAGCAGTGTACCATCCTTGTCGGCTAGTATTTGTACAAACTAATGTCAAATAGCAGAAGAATTATAACTTATAAAAAAACAATGATAAAACAATTTTCGTTCTTTTACAGAAACCCGACTGGGAAGGTATATAAATCAGTATGGAGTAGGATGGGGACTGGGGAACTGTTTGGAAATGGAATGTCAGGGAGATTTATATGTACAGTAAACTTGGTCCTTTAATGGTTCCCTTCTGGATTGCTCTGCCTCTGACTTTCCTCCCTCTTTTTCTGTCTCACAGAACCGGTCTGGAGGCCATAATGGAAACATACGCTTTCTGGAGACCACCGGTGCGGACCCTCACATTCGAGGACTTTACCACCATGCAAAAACAGCAAGGTGTGTGGGGCCACGGACTGATATGGAGCTTGACAGCCAGCCTGACAGCAGGCTCGTTCAGAGTCGGTCTCCTCTGATGCTCTCCAGGAAAGGCAGTGCTGTAGTATTATATCGTACAAAGGCTTGTATGAAAAACCTTTAATGTAAATATGGGTGAGCCCCCTGATTTCCAATTCCCTAATAAATTAATAAAGCCTAATTAATATGTTCATAATGGCTTAAAGTGAACCAATAAATAACTTCCTGAGTGGCCTCTCTGCCTCTCCCCTCTCCCTCCTCCTCCACATTTCCAGCTTTTGTTCTCCTGTGCTATTTAATCTGTGACGTCTGCCCTGTCTTTCTCACACCCGAAGAAGGCTCCACAGCCGAAATGTTGTGTTTTCTCTCTTCTCTTTTCAGCATGGAATAAACCTTAACTTGTTCCTCTATAGATTATGCATGCTGAAGCAGCTATTTTCCTGAACCACAATAAATAACTAATATTTTTTTTGTACTCCAGCAAGGTTGCACAGTCATATTTAAATCTTTTTTGAGGTCTAAAACAGTTACACCTTTAGAACAAATATAAAATTAAGTCCTATGTGTTGTCTCTGCTGACATTAGCCTGAGAGTGATATGACAGAAATGTTCTTGATGTTTTTCTGATGACTGAGAGAACCACAGATTCTGCCTGATTGCAGTACATCCCTGGAGTTCCAAACCGTGCTTGTCCTTCCCTACAGTCAAGTGTGTTTCTCTTGAGCACCGAAAGGCAAAAAGAGTCTGCCGTTTAGGCTCATCTTCAAAAAGGTGGATGCAAGCTATCATTTAATCTGATACTTTGGGACACATCCACGTTTGTAGCTGATTTTATTGTGTTTGGAACATCAACAGTCTCTTTCGAGTTAATGCAAAGTTTTCTCCTTCATGTTCTCCATGAAAACGCACAGCTGGGTTTAACCTGACATTATGTAGTGCTTATTTTCCCTAGTACACATGAGTGAGAAAACACTAAGCCACGGTCTCCCTGCTTTGCTTTTCTAACAACCTGAAGATGTACCACTCTTGCACTGCTGGCAGTGTTCGTATAATTCTCAGAAATCTCCTGCTCTGTCCAGCAGACATCTGCTCATTGTTAATTAATTTGAACAGACTACATTTTAATTAATCTTTTTTACTTTATGCACTTATGAGCTTTGAACTCGTGGCCTAACTGACTAATCTCTCATGTGTCTAAAGCCCTCTTTTCGTATATGAACGATACAGAAGAACCTTAGGATTTTTTACATTACGTCACCATAATATCCAACTTATGGCAAAAACACAGCATAGAGTTATTATTGAACACACATGGTGTGAAGACAGGGCAAGCCAAGAGTGTCCTGAATTATTTAATTAGGAAGGGTTTTGAACAACAAAATGAACCCTAGCCAAATTCTCATTAATAAAAATATGTGATTGATTTCCCACAGCTACAACATCATTCCAAAAAGCTTGACATATTGAACATGAAACGGATCCAAGATTTTTTATAAATGCTAGAGAAAAAAATATTGCGTTTTTGGAAAAGATGTAAAGATTTGTTTTCATAGCAGAGGAACACTGAACATGATCCATGTCTTATGTTTCATGCCGTACTAATAGTTTAATTCTTTATTTCTAAACAGTTGCTCAAATTTCAAAAACATACGCCTCTGAGGAAAAACGCAAATCAGTATTACGTATAATTAATTTTATTCTTTGGTAACTGAAACCTACTGGTAGATTAGTGGAAAATATGTGGAAGTCTAATTAAAACTAAGAACAGGAGGCATTTCTTTACCCAAAGGGTTGTGGATGTCTGGAACAAACTACCCAGCCATGTGGTTGAAGTCGATAGCTCGGTTTCTTTCAAGAAACAGCTGGAAAAGATCCTCAGACCATGAAATGGGCTAGATGAGCCTCCTCTAATTTAACCCCCTCTGACTTGTATTCTGTTCTTCAAATGAATCAGATAGAGAGCTGGAGCAGAGGGTTACCACTCCTGAAAGCTTAATGAAATATGTAATGTGAAATGATAATTTCCTAATATAGAATTGTGCTTACAGGAGTCAAACACCATGGTCATTATCGCTCCAAAACTAATTAGGGTACCTTTGAAACCTCTGGCATCGTGCTGGTCTGTATACTGAGACAGCAGTGTAGGGAAGCGGGTAGGGCTTGGTTTGAAAAGGCTCAGATCCCAGGTACTGTAGGTCACTGCTGTTGTCCCCTTTAAAGAGGGACCCAGGTTTGACAGTTGCAGTAAAACGCCTTGCTTTAGGAATGATAACACAATGACGTCTGTAGAGAAATAGGAGGCGGTTAGAAAGCCTGGTCTTGGAACAGATCGCTGTGCAGAGACGGCTCGGTGAGAGAGGGGGGCAGGTGGCCCAGGGAGGAAGAGAAGGAACGACGAAGAGATCAAGAAAGAGATTTAGCGGAAGGCATGGTGGGTTGCAGGAGAGGTAGGCTGAAGTAGTTCAGGCAGGGAGCTGCGTCAGCATGCGTAGGCTGCAAACGAACAAGCTAGGGTTTGTTCCATGCTGGAAAGAGAAGAACAGAAACACAGCGTTTCAGCTGTGGAGCCTTCTACGGGTGTCTCTCTGTCAGGTTGCACTCGGTGGCTGTTTGTCACTGCCCTTCAGTGCTGGGGTACAGATCCCTTCATGATGGCCTTGAATCCAATGGGTCGCCTCACTCATATTTCTGGAATTCGGGCCTAAAGGGCAGCGGCTCCCCTGTCCACCGTAGCAGCACACTGCTGTGTATTCAGCATCAGCACTGGCTGCGGGGCTGTTTTCAGTGATTTTTTAATGGCAAGAACAGCAGGAACTAATCGCCCCCAAAATGCGTCTGTTTGCTTCGCAGGAGGAAGCACGGGCACATCGCCAACCACATCCAGCACGGGCACCCCGTCCCCCTCGGCCTCCTCCCACCTCCTCTCCCCTTCCTGCTCCCCCCCCACCTTCCACCTGGCGCCCAACACCTTCAACGTGGGCTGCCGGGAGAACCAGCTGTGCAACCTCAATCTCTCCGAGTACCCGGCCTGCGCCAGGAGCAACATGGCGGCCCTGCAGAGCTACCCGGGCCTGGGGGAGGGCTCGTATGGGAGGCTGCAGGCCGGGAGCACCCCTGCCAGCCAGCCCTCCGAGTCCTTCATGCCCCAGAGGACTTCGTCTTTAATCGCCGGGATGCAGGCCAGCCCGGCGTCTCTGCCCAGCAACAACAAGATGGACACCTACAGTGGCCAGCTCGGCTCCTTCCCCCCCTCACAGCTGCAGTACGTCATGCAAGCAGGAGGTTCGGCTTCCAGCTCCTCCTCCTCCCACATGTTCAGTGGGGGTCACATGCAACAGGGATCTTACAACGCCTTCTCCCTTCACAATCCATACAACCTTTACGGATACAATTTCCCCGCGTCCCCCAGGCTGGCCGCCAGCCCAGAGAAACTGACCGCCTCGCAGGGCAGCTTGCTGTGCTCGTCCTCCCCCAGCGGGCCCTTCGGAGACCGGCAGTACCTGGCCAACGGGATGGAGGGGATGCACATGATCGCCAACCCCTCCGGCGCACAGCAGACCGCCAACACCTGCGACAGCCGCCAGTACGGCGCCATGCCAGGGCCATCTTCACAGATGTCGGTGCACATGGTGTAGACGGGGAACCACCCTCACCGGCCTGACTCGCTCGGTTTGCATTTCCCACGTTCTTGCATTGCCCTTTCAGCCGAAGGACAGAGGCATGTCGTAGAGGCAGGCGATGCGTTCTTGGACACGACGGCTTGCCTCGACAGGAGGAGAGACCTTGACAGAACTCTCACGCGTAAACGAACAAAAAGAAGGGATGTTGTTGAACTTGAACTCTTTGTTAAGAAAAAAGGTGTCCAATAGTTGAATAGTTGCTGTGTTCGTCAGTGGTCCACGTCAGTTTGTACTTTCACCCACCTGCCTGACTGAGAAGGACTTAAGGCAAAATCACACCCTGCACTTCAACGGGTTTGCAAAGAAGAAGGGATTTCAAGTAGCCTGTGGGAAAGTGGACAGCAGTGTTGGTGCAATAGAGGAAGAGGAAACCCGTTAAAGCCAACTTTGTCTGGGGTCACAGACCCCTGTCTGAAACACTATCTGACCAGCTTCGCTGCCAAGGGCGAAGAGGCTGGCACTTGCCTTCAAGAAGCCCTGGAGCAGTAAACGCAGACGGACAAGGGTCTCTGCTGCAGAGCTTGAGGAAAGACATGTGTCTGAGGAGGTATTCTGGGAAACTGAAGACTGAAAATAGCCTAGAGCCACAATTTGAAAAAGTGATTTAAAATCCCCAGAAAATGGAAATACACATTCTGCTAAGAGTGGAAAGTGCAGCAATATCTTGGAAAATTCAGCTGAAGAGTATCACAACACTGAACAAGGAGGATGTGAACGTTCAGGAGCACGCCAAAGGGATTATCGGAGATGTACTCTGAAATGTTCTGTATCACCTCTTGAACATGCGGTGCTGTGACTAATTCACAACAGACATTGTCCTGCATCGGTCAGAACTGCCTTCACCGTATGCATTGCTGATTAGTTTAAAATATATCTTGGTGAAAGAAACAAATGCTATGAATTGTGTGCAAATACAAAATAATAAGAAAAAGAATTATTAAAGTATGTTTTGATGTGTTGTAGATAACTGTATTTATGTGCCTAGCAATAATACAATTATATCGACCCCAGAGGCCAGTAAGAGATATATAGGATGCTAAAAATGGAGAGGGAGAGAAAGAGAACTGAAACAAAAAATGCAGGGGTATTCAATAACAGGCCTACTTGTGAACCTGTAAATAGAAGTGCAAAGCACGAAAAAGTTCAATAAACATTATAATTCCTTTATGTGTTTCTTTGATCTGAATAATGGTTTGCTTTTCAACTAGTTTCAAATAAGAAACTGAAATAAAAAACGTAAGGCACTGTCTAGTAATGCACAGCATAAGGAAGATATCTTCCAGCCTGGAAAAACATCATCCACTTTAAAAGGCATGAATTAGGATACTGTATAAGAGGGATTCCTTTTAGCTTTTTTTTACTCACAAAGTTGCATTTTTCAAGCTGTGGATGTCAGATCTGTGCCTTTGGTTGAATTCAAAATCCTGTCACAATGATCAAATGCACACATGTGCCTTTGGGGGAACGTTTTAAAATTAATCACTGATCTGACTATATGATTTCTGTTCTTTAAGGTTAGAAAATATCTGCTGGTCGGGCAATAGCTGATTTTCAACCTCAGCATTTATCTTCAAAAAATTCTAATTCATTCTAATCCTCGATAGCTGCTTTCAAACTGGATATGTAAAGTATGACAAATGTACATGTCACACTGTAAAAAGAGAGTCTTGAGCTGTGAAAAGGCAAGTGAAGCGCTGTAAAGTGCCAGAGTAAACGTTTTCAGTTACTGTACATCTTACAACTATCATCAGCGCAGAAACTAAAATCCACCATCACCCGACATCATATACTGTATATGTGTAAATGTTATGAACAATACAAAGTTATTTAACATAATAAAACCGTACGCGTTTTAAAATTAAAATTATCTTTCAGATTCAATATTTGCCCTCTTTTAAATGCAGGATCATTTCTGCATTTGAAATGTTTCTATTTACAGTGCAGAAATGGATCATGGGAATGAGAAAGAAAACTGACCCCCCCCCCAATTAAATAATTAAGTACAGCAGGGCAATGTGAAATACAGTACATAGTGACATATATACAGATTACAGAATACATGCATTATTTTTTGTTTTTGTTTACCAGAAGTGTGGACAGTCCTTTGAGTTTGTAGTTATGATAAAATGGCAATCATTTCTTCAAAAAGAATTATGGCAAAGCACACAGGCTGATGCACAAAATGATCAACTTAAGACGATCACAGCACCTGTGCAAGAAACCAACGATTTTCTTTACAGTTTAAAAGTCTTTGTGTTACACTCTTGATAATCTTTTTGCTAAAGAAGAGATCAAATATTCTTCAAGAAAAACATGAGCATGTGCCTGTTATGTCTTTTAGAAATATTATATTTCTTCTGTGCAGAGACAGATTTAGTGGAAATACACAATGTGTTTGTGACTCACTGAACTCTGCTCATAATGCACTAATCCCAACATGTTTATTTTTTCATGGGTGAGTAAAACATTTTCAAGTAGTTTGCTTGCAACTGAAATGACGGAAGAAACACTGATGCTTTCATTTGACATACATGTGCAAAAGATTCTTTTCAAGAATAGACCTCCCTCTGAGACTAGATAATCAGGCCTTGAACAGGCGGATTTCTGACACATTAGAGGCAGCAAGACACTCAGTGGTACAGTATATCTGAATATCACTTAACTAGGTGCTATAATATTTGTTCTACTCTTCCATGTGAAACTCTGGTAGGGAGAGCCGATGGACAGTTCGTACATGACACATCAATTACACAGCTGTCCTCTCAACACACAGACCAAAGTTAACATCATTTTTAACAAAATAGCCACATACTTATTTATGAATGTATTGTAAATATTTTGTATGGATGGTCAGATTCGAAACAATGATACACTCATTCAGCTAGAATTCCACAATCTTTACACACATCCATGTATGCTTTCTTGAGTGGCGTGCAAAGTTATTTTCAGGAGTTACTGTAATTGGAATGGAAGAACATGCGAAAATGCCTTTTGCTACACACTTGATCCCTTTCACTGTTCTCTTTTTCTGGTTTAATGTGACCTTCTGTCATCAGATTTCTGGTAAACTGTTGCCCTCTTGTGTTTATTTTGATTTTATGCTTGAGCTTGTAAGCTCAAAATTGTTTTGAACAGCTTATTCTCACAATATCGTTAAGCAACATATATTCCTTCAGTCTGTTATAATATTTAGACCCTTTTGGCACATAACATAATATCACTTAATAAGCAAAAAGATAGCCTCCCCTGAAGAAGGCTCCACAGCCAAAACGTGTTTTCTCTCTTCCCTTTTCAGCCTGTTACTTGTTCCTTTGCAGCCTGCGCATGCTGAAGCAGCTCCCCACCTGAATAAGATAGCCTCTTTGACTGATGGGAAGCAAGGATAACATTCAGATCCTTTCTTATGGGTATGTTTGCCCTCTTGGCATGAATTTCCCTAAATACTGAATAATCTTAAACCTATGTCCCTCCATTATACCTCCATACATGCATTTGACAGCCCAGGCAAGCACTCTTCAGTCAGGTAATACTCAATTCTAAGCATCTAAGAATATATTAAATTGGCAATGCCTATAAAAGTAGTATTGGTCAAATAAAAGATAAACGCATGAATGATCTTGCTTATCTCTCAGTAACTGCACTGTACACGAGTGTAAAAACCTCTCAAGGTTCATGTTGTTTTCCATTCCAAAGGGGAGAAGGGGCCTGTAGGTTAAATTGGTACTTGATTCAAAGCTTCTCCTCATCTCTGTGTGAAAGAAACAACACTGACCAGTTAATATTTCAGGAAGAAATAACTGCATGTGATTTTTATTGGAAAGGAGAGAAAAAAAAAGATATTTTAGTGCAATGCCCCAGAAACAGGTGGAAGTAATATAAACTGTTGAAACAACTCAGCCCTTGCATGAAGGATACCTGGTGAGCAGGAGGGTAATTTCCACCTGGGTCTTGCACAGACACTGAGGATTATCAGGTTTACACAAATGCAGCCAGTGTCCTGGCACAGTGGACTTCTGAAGAACTTCACTGTTTCACCAGTGAGCAGCAATGACCTTCTCTCTCAGCAAAGGGGTCTGCATTTCAGCCCTGTGGAATCATGCTGCTGAGGAAATTTGCACTTGAAAAGAGGTCTAGCTCTCCTGCGAATGGTCTGCAGATGTGTGTGGGAACCCCCTGTGCCGGGATACAGCCAAACAGGTGTTAAATGTGTCTACAAGAGGAAAAGCCCGGGCTAATTTTTCACTTGAGTTGGAAAAACATTCACATTGCAGTTCAAACAGGCTTTCAATCAGATAACTGGTGCTGGCTGTTTCAAAGGGATTGTGCAGATGATCTTCTACCAGCTCTTGTGAATTTCAGGGATAGCTGTACTGTAGCTGCAGAGCCTTGTAGCCCCTAAAATGGAAACACAAAGAGGATATCGCACATCTGCAACCTGTGTTTGAAATAAGGATTGTGCGGCGCGCAGGAAGTCCGTTGCAGAATTGCTGCATGTGAAAACGCCCAGTTCGAGCTTGCCATCATTGAACCTGGTTCTGTTACAGTAACGACCCAGTAAGGGCTGAGGTCAGTGACAGTGTCTAGAAACATGTTTCTAAACAATAAGACCCACCCGCAGCGGAGAGGAAACACATCTCGAGTCTGACCCTGCAGTTGGGGAGGCGTGATCGGCAGGTTACTGCAGACGGCTGTTGAAAGCGTGGCTGACAAATCAATTAAAAACACCCAGTTAGGATTGGCTGCAAAGTGTCAACATGCAGCTTCAAGTGATCGTGCATGTGGTGTCCTTGAGCTTTTGCTAAGGGGTATGTTTAAACAAAGTCTGTTTTGCTGGTGTAGTGTAAAGGAACAGGTGTAGAGGTTTATTCCCTGCTGAAAGGAAAAGAAAAGAGACACAATGTTTTGGCTGTGGAGCTTCTTCCTTTGCAGCCTATGCATGCTGATGCAGCTACCTACTCAAGCTAGGCTAGTGTAATATTCAGGTTCTGTAATGTTCTGTATTAAACTCCCAATTCCAAACTATTCACACTGTTTTTATGTTTTGTATGGCGGCAGATCACACTAAGATGAATTAATCTTAGGCTTTTTGGTCAGGCCCTTCAAACACCATTAAGGTGATTTGTCATTAGATCCGCTTAGGGAAGCAAAGTTTTACACTTTCACCTTATGTAACAAACACCGTTATAAACCACAGCATGTCAGTGTAAAAACAAACAAACATAGATTTGTTTTAAATATAAACCCTCTTTGTCTCTTTGTTTTTAAGTCAGTAAGATATACTGTATTTTTGTAAGAAGTAAATACCTGGACAACACAGCAATTATTTTGAAAACAAATTTGAAAAAAAAATGAGTTGGTATTCAGGAAGAAAATATAAAGGTATGTGCGGAAAAGTAGGCACAGCTGTTTGATGTACAATATTTTCTCAATTAATCTTCAACAAATACCTGCAGACGGAACTCAACAGCAGCACCTCACAGTAAAATTAGGTCCTTATGGGGACTTTTGGAATTGACTGTATGGATATGCAGCTCTCGGCTATGAGCAGCAGGGTGCAGATCATGGGTGGCGCAGTGGCACAGGGGTGAGTAGTGTTAGCAGGTGCTCCCTGCCTTGGGCCTGCTGCTTGCCGACTCACCCTGACCCTGGGCTGAAGGAAGTGGACAGAGAATGGGTAGATGGATCTGAGTACATGAAAGCGTGATCATTCATGTCAGATGCACACTATTTAAGGGTCCTTTTTAAATGCAGCTTGCCACCTGGGTCTTGCAGGAGCATACTTGTACCGATGCCGTTTTTTCTGCTTTTAAACGAGCACGCCAGTGCTGAAGCCCTCTGCGGGGCTCAATTTCACCCTGCGTTTTCCAGTGCCAGTGAAGTCCGACTGGAGCTGCAGATGCCCTCACCTGCCTCCTGAAATTCTTTTGTGTGGCAAAAGGGGGTTGTTTCCAGTTTAGTGCCGCGGACCGCAGGGCTGGTATCTTCTGCGCTCCGAGAGCAGGCTGGTCACATGGGAATGGAAAACATTTGGCAGCTGATTCCCGAGCCTGTCATCACTGCCAGCGCAGGCCAGGAGGGCCGGAGGAAGGTGGAGATGGGATGGGAAAGGACGAGGCCTCCGTGCCAGCACTCTGTGTGCATCCTCACAAGGGACCGGATCCGCACCC